TTTCAAAGCTCATCGGTCTGAAAAGCGAGGTGTGCTGTGATTGGCCAGCTATCAAGTGCGTTTTGATTGGCCGAATACCTCAAGCGTGTGACGGAATTGGTACGCCTCTCACCATATTGTGATGATGCCCTGTCAGGCCGGAGCGATGATTCAAAAACATGAAAACCCATTATAAACGAGGCATTCGTTGCATCCAGTGGGGACATAATTATGGATTATAATGACTTATACTGTCTTTGTCATCTGCATGATGAAGCAGATATCGTCCTCTTTTGGAAGGCCAAACAAAGTAGTTTCACTTTCACAACGAAACACAGCGTCTTCACGACATGGCGGCAACAACTATACTACAGCGAGAATAAAAGTTACGCCTTCTTTCTTCGCGTGAACATTTGGGCGGCATTATGCAAATCTTCCCACATAGTGATGTAGATATGTGGGGGCGTGTTAGAACGAGCCGTTTTAGGTAGGCGTGGTTGACTCTTAACTTTTATAAAGAATATCTCTTTGGATTTGAGACTTTAGTCTTTGCAACTTTACAGATCTTCTTTATGCACCAAGAGCTTGTAACACTCCAAAGAGAAAGGAAAAATTGAAATCGCATCATATGACCCCTTTAAAATAAACGAGTGTACATTGTGAGCGAACAATTTGTAGAGATCTGCCAGAAGAAGCATCCACGAACAGCTGATTTGTACGGAAACATCTGATGACCAAACTACATCGGAATTTGCAAATGGAAAAATCAAGTGAGCTCGGGCCGATTTGTTCACAATGCACGTTTTTAGCGAACCGTACCTTTAGCCGAAAGCGAACTGTACTCAGACCACCTCCCGAGATGGTCTCGGTTCGGTTCGCTTCTGAGGGGTCTGAGATCGTTTGGAGTGTTCACATATGGGCCAAAAATCACGCGAACTGCACTCAGACCCCTGAAAAGGACCAAGTGTGAAAACACCCTTAAACTATGAAGTGCTCAGCCACTTACCACCAGCCCAACCAAACTATTCTCTACTCATTAGAATCTCATGTTTATTCGCTCAGTTAATGAGGGTGGCATACATATTCATAAACACCTTTCACTGATCAAAGAGACTCAAACCGGTTTTCCCCACTTCATGTTTGTCAATTAATTCTTAAGCCTCTTCGAGCCCCTTTGCCAGCTGATTGGCGTGACCGATGCCCATCGCTTCCGCTCACACAGCAGCTGCACGCATGTCTTTGTTCGGAATGAGCAGTTCTGTAAATCCAGTGCAACAGGTGGCCACACAAAGAGACGCGACGAGACTCCGCAGCGCTCGCTGCTTAGCAACACACGCAGAGCTGTGACTGTTGCAACTTGCATTCAGATGGTTTTGGAGGCAGAGTAGTGAAGGTGTCAGGGTGTGTTGTTGGGCTGAAGCTGTGGGGACAGCTTGACCATGGGCATCATTTTGTTTTTTTAACTGGCGGGTGAGTGGGGAAGGTGTAGATGTCCTTGGGAAGTCACAAAGCGTTCAGTGTGCTGGTAAAGGGTCATACATATTAATTAGATTAATTAGACATATTTTAAAAAGTTCTTGTTTTTATTAAAATTTTTACAGTAAGTTTCAAATCATTGTAATGAATTACTGCATCATAAACTATTATGCAACATTTTTACATAATCTACACTGTCATAAAAGTTTGGGAAATTAATACTTTTATATAGCAAAGACACATTAAAATGATTAATAGTAAATGCGGTTCTAATGCTACAAAAGATTTCTATTAAAAATACTATTTTTTTATTTTATTTTCTATTCATCAAAGAATCCTGAAAAAGCATCAGTTTCTGCAAAAATATTAAGCAGCTCTTTTCAACTGTGATACAGGGTATGTTTCTTGAGTGCCAAATCATCAGCATATTAGAATGATTTTTAAAGGATTGTATGGTACTGAAGGTGGCTGAAAATTCTGCTTTGACATCACAGGAATAAATTCCATTTTAAAGTATATTAAAATGAAAAGCGTTTTTTTTTTTGTAATATATTTCACAATGTTACTGTTTGTACTGTATTGAAAAAAATAAATGCAGCCTTAATGAGCATAAGAGACAGAATTCAAAAACATAAACAAAATATTACAACCCCAAATTTTTAAACGGTATTGTAGCTTTATATTAATTTATTATTAATATTTACTATTAATATACTATGTTGTTCGTTGTTAAAGCTGCAGTCCGTAACTTTTTTTGTGTTGAAAATGTATATAAGCGAGTACACCATGAATCCATTTTCCAAACCATGTTTTTGGCTTGTCCTGAATCACTATGGTTCACCTATAATACGGGTTTATATTCGGACTATTTAGACTGGTTCGGGTAGGTACCGCTGCGGAGTAGCCCAGTACCTGCGTGATTGGCCATAGACATAAACAGAGAGAAGTAGCTCCGGCTACAATGTTCTTCCACAAGACGCATGCAGTTCGGTTTATTAACTGCTAGAGGGCCAAAAGTTACGGACTGCAGCTTTAAGTAACAGTCAATAATGGTAATTCTTATCATTTCTAAAATGCTAAAGATGTATTGGCATTTGCAGAAAGGAATTTTAACCCAGATTTTAAATGCTGTATAAAAGTGTTGATCGTTGTTACTATAGTTTGATACCAAAATGCATAAACTAAGGTAACAAAATTGAACCTGTGCGATTTCATTGAACAGTTATTTTTCCTGACCAATTCAAATTTTATTTGATTAACTTTATTGCTAAATATGCCACCAGTAGTTCTAAGATTCTTCACTTGGGATATTTTTTTTATGCATACTGAATTACAGCGCATTCCTAGGAAGTCAAACCTAGGATTTTAGTGTTGGCAGTGGCGTGCTTTGCTAACTCAAATACAAGAACCCAAATAGATAAGCTAATAAATACTAAATATCACTAATTGGTGCATAACATTTTTTGCTGGGAATATGAGGTCATCGCTTTTACTTTCCACCACTGACAACAGCACCATTAAAACATTAGCTTCTTATAACTCTAAATGAAATTACATTAAAACCCCTCAACAACTGGAGATGCTTGTAGATTGCGCAAGTGGTGAGCAAAAATTGGTGGGCGCATATCCGCATGGTAAATGACACCTATTTGCTTGAGCTTGTTCTTCCGCAGCTAAAGCCATCGAAGTGTGGAAACACGTCTGTGTCAATACCAAGAAAAGAATTGAGTGACTCAGGTTGACATGTGGTTTTTATCTAAAGTTTCGCCATTTCCTACCCAGGCCCCTCACATAAATACACAGCGCCCATCTGTCCCTTGCATTTTTTGACATTTCCCCATTTCTAATGACTCAAGAGGTCTGTGTGTGTGTGTGTGTGTGTGTGTGTGTGTGTGAGAGAGAGAGAGACAGAGACAGAGAGCCCTGTGACGGACAGCCCTCGCTGAAGCCTCTGTTCTCAGTGACATGGGTCAGGGTGGAGATGTTTAGGCATATCTTCCGCACCAAGCCACGCATGCAACAGGCAAGTGTACTTGTCCTTTACCCGAGGGAATCGAGAGAAGAGGGGTAGAGGGGTTTGTTTAGGATGAGAGATGAGAGCTACAGGAAACACGCTCTATTCTGATGTGGTTAGGAACGAGAGGTCCAGATGGGGAGTTATCCATTATGTTGTGACTTGTGTTGATTTGCGCTAAATGTTTTTCTTGTTTAAAATTCTACTAGAGGTTTTTTCAACAAGTTTTTTGTGGGCACGTCCCTCATTTGTAAGCTGTTTCACTGTGACTTTTCTGTGTGACCGAACTTGTTTGAACATTTCTGAAACCGGAAACGTCTGGTTTACGATGCAGAAAGCTGCAGCCTATAGCTTTGTGGGTTGTTCAGCATTGCAAAACATATATTTGGTGTTAAATCCTGTATGTTTTCTCTTTCAGTTTTTATATCTGTTAAGAAACATGAGTCATTTTAGTTCAACTGTACGTAATGGAGAGCTTACAGAGATAGATGTGCTCATTACAAAATAATGACAACGGAAGTGCTGTTTGTCCATATGTTCTCCCTCTTGGCATTTGTGTTGTGGTATTGGTCATTTTGAAGCAGAGTGAAAGTAGTTTTATATAGAGTTACACAGTGTTGAGTGTTAAAGGTCATCGGTGAATGCAAGAGTGACTGCAGAAGGAATATTAGAGAAGCTTCTCTCAACCTCAGCTGTGACAGGAAGTTTCGACTGATACAGTGTTTTTGTTTCAACACTGAACAACTACATTAAGTTCTTTACTACAGCAATTAAATGGATAGTTCACATGAAAAATGAAAATGCTATCATTTATTTACCATCAAGATTGTGCCGGTCACTGTTTTATAGTGCAACAAGGTCCATACGACTCGCTATATTAAAAGTCTTCTGAAGCAATGGTCCGAAATTTAATCTGGATGTGAAGTTTAATTGTAAATGAATCTTTCTCCTTATTGTTCTCATTTGTAAGTCGCTTTGGATAAAAGCATCTTCTAAATGACTAAATGTAAATGTATTGGAATCTTTTAAATAAACCCATTTCACAATCCAGTTTGCGAATCTGACTGATCTGGTTCTCAAGTTCAACTCACTGGCTTAATGTGTTTTCACACCGTGCTCATTTGGAGCATTTATTATTTCAGAACCAGAGGCATGTTTTCTCCCTTAGCTTGGTTTGTGTAGGAATATGTGAGCAAAGCAATCATGCCCCGATCTGCACTAAAACAATCGATCTGAGATTGTCTGAACAATGTGGTCTTGGTCCAATTGAATTGTAACATTTTAAGTCCTCGGTTCAGACCAAAGTGAATGTTCTACCCACTGAAGAGGAAGATTATCATTAAATAGCATTATACATTTCAGTCTTGTGTTTCTCACCCAAAGCTTTTATTGACTTTAGAATTGACTTGAAATTTCTTGAATTCTTAGGTGCTTCATCAGTGCACAGGAGTGAAAGTGTAAAGAAAACATTCATTTTGTTCTTAGTTTGATTCTCTCTTTGTTCGCTTCTTCCTCCCCAACCCCACATTAGCAGTACAAGTCACAGATCACCTGGATAGAGAAAGAGTTTGCTGATGTCAATGTGAAGGTAAGATTTCTGAGCTTTCTGCTCCCACCTGCTTTCCTCTTTGAGCTCTGTCACACTGTCTGTCAGCTTGGGTTCTAACAGGATTTACAGTAGAGGAAGAGGAGCACTGGGACATGCCTAAAACTGACCTTTAATAACTTTCCTTAGTGTTTGTTGTTTCTTTGATTATGACGTCCACTTGTAGTATCAGGCTTGACTGGTCAGGGTCAGAGGAAGACCTGTATGTTTTAAAGCACCACCGTATTTTTAGCTCTGTTGAGAGTGAGAGGGGAAATCAGCAAGGCATTATGGGACAGAATGAGCATTTAAGTGTGCACCCGAGAGAAACAGACATTGAGCTACATCTTAGGCAGCAATGTTTCTTCTTGGTCTTTCTTTTTCTGGATCTGTATATTTTTCTTTTTCTTTCTTTCTTTCTTTCTTTCTTGTCAGTAATGTTAATAAAAAAATCCTCTTAATATATAATAAAATAATTATTTTTTTCTTTCTTCTATATATCTTTATTAGCCCATCTGTCACACATTACTATGTCACATCCTCCCTTCCTCTCTCTCTCTCTCTCTCTCTCTCTCTTTCTCTCTCTCTCGCAGTGTTTTTTTTCTCTCACCAGTTCTGTTTTCAGGTCTCGGTCTCTTCCTTCCTCTTCCTGCGTGCCTCAATGTAGTTGTCAAGTAGGGCAGAGCACACACCCTGACTCCACACACACTGCCAGACTCTGCTCACTCCTTCTCTGGGATGAGTTTTGTTGTCCATGGCTGCCCCGACAGCAGGCGGATGGGGGTAACAGTGGAATGCCCTGGCTAGAGGAGGGATGAAGAGATGGAGAAAGAGAAGAGGAAGTTTAAAGTCAGCCAGTTATTGAGTCTCTACCTGTTCAAGAGGCAGCACAGTAAGGCTTTAGCGAATGCCACTCAGTCCAGAGAGGAGACTAACAGCACCACAACCTCGGCTCAGTCTAGTGCAGCTTTAACCGATGAACATACGACGTGGACGGTCAGTGCACACAAACACGCACACACACACACACACACACACAGTATAGTGGCATTGCTTTGTAGAGGAGTTGTAGTATATTGTTTGTTACTAGGATGGTTGTATTTTGAGACTATATGCTACATTTGTTGAATAGGGCACTGGTTGTATATGTAAACAAACTTTTCTTTAATTAATTGTCATTTTACAAGTCAAAACTTAGATTTAGTTTGATTTTGTCAGATGTTTGCCGCTTGAATTTTGTCGTCCTTAAAACAAGACATCAAATGCATCTTTCATGTGGTACATCTGCAGGAGAACAGCTATGATATGTGCTTCAGAGCTCTGTGACGCTGTTTGTTTCTCTTTTTATGATACAAGTGTTAGCAACACCCTAAAACCTGTCAAATGCTGAAATCCTCCTTTTCTGAACTTTAGCTGACTTGTGTTCGGCATTAAAACTGCAGCAAATTGCCACCCAAAAATAAATGCATTTCAGACTTTGATAAAACTGAGAGGCTTATGAAGTAAATAATTGATATTACAAAGTAATGAGATTAACAATGTGTCATCATAATTTGTAACTTTTTTTAAAGAAATCAATTAATTAATCTGATTTCAGGGCTTAGTTGATTAATGCGCAGAAATGTTGGTAAACATAAACTGAATTTCTAACATCCACCTAGCATTTGCTGTAGACTTCATTTTTTTGCTGATTGTATTCTGATATATATATATATATATAGACACATACATATATATATATATATACACACACACACACACTCACCCACGTCATTCAAAACTGTGTGACTTCTTCTGTAGAGTATAAGTTGTTTTGAAATATGTTGGGAACTAAGTTTCGATGACCATTGTCTTCCATTGTATGAAAAAAAATATTTCTTCAAATATCTTTTGCGTTCAACAGAATAAAGCCATAAAAGTTTGGAACAACTTCAGGAGGAGTAAATGATGACAGAATTCTAATTTTAGGTTGAACTATCCCTTTAAATGATTTATTTATTGACGTATTGGTAATGTTTCCATCCCTGTGATAATTTTGGTGGTCAGTTAGTCAGAATTGTAGGTTGTCTAAGCAGATCTGATATTAGTCTAACTGGGTTTGATATGATGGTGCTTGTTAGTGAGATGTGTTTGTGCTTTTATTGTACCATGTTCTCAGAATTCAGTTTAATTTTGATTTCGACCATTAACCATTTCCTCCTAAACATGTTTACCCCTTCTGTCTTTCTCTCTAGTCACAGGGGAAATGTGACACATAGCACTTTCAGCAGAGCCTACATGCTTTCTATCAGCTTTAATAAAGGATAAACTGCTAGTCATTACACTCTCTGATCTGATAGGTTTCAAGTGTTTTTCTATGTGGCTTTAAATCGCATTCTTGAGCTTCTCAAGAACTTCTCCTCACTCATCTCAACTGCACCCTTGCGGCTGAAACTTGCAAAATAACTATCGAATAACAAGTGGTGGTGGTGGAGCCTTAATGGTTTTGGATGATTACACAGAAGTTGCAGGTTCAATTTAGGAACAGAATCCCTCATATAATTATAATATAGCTATATATGTATTTTTTAAATAAACTTTATCTATCTAAAGAAAATGGCTTATCGTTCATTGACCTCCAGCGTCGGAGATTATGGCCACTTAAGCCAGCTTTGAGCTTTAATAATCAAGCTCGTCTTCCTGACCAGTCGGCTGTCTGCTCTGTATATGTTTTATGCCAAATTCCCTGACACAAGCTGTGGTTGATATCCGTCTCTGTCTCTTGTGTTGTAGGAAGATGGTGACATCAAGGAGATCAACATCACACATGTTGTTAAGGAGGGGGCGGAGAAAGCAGACCCCTCACAGTTCGAGCTGCTCAAAGTGCTGGGGCAGGGCTCCTTTGGAAAGGTAAAGAGAGTCTCATATGCACAAACTTTATAAATGCATAGATGTCTTGTTGACTTTGATGTGTGTTCTTTGTATTTAGCTTATATAAGATGCTGTAAGAACTGTTAAGCAAAAGCTAATTAATGGTGATTTTGTGATGATGTTCAGAGGGATTTACTGCTCTGGACCAGAGCAAATGTGAATGAATTGGGAGTCTGCAATCCACCAGCACATCCCTTGCCCGTATCATCATTCGGAATTAAATAGAAAATTCCTTTAGCTTCCATTTAATTTGATGATTTTAAATTAATGTAGCAGCCAATATCAAATTTGAATTTCGGGATGTAGAATCAATGTTTCCAATCAAACCAATCAAATGTTTATCTTAATTTTTGTTGAAATTTTTTCAATTTTAATTGATTTATATGCACAATTGATTTATATTCACTACTGATTGAAGGTTTGGGGTCAGTAAGATAAAAAACAAAAAGAAGAAGAAATTTATATTTTTATTCAGCAAAGATGAATTAAAGTGACAATGAAGACTACAAATAAAACTGTTATATTAAATTGTAATAATATTTACTAATATTTCATAATATGTTGCTAAATTCAGCACTGGTGAGCATAAGGAACTTGTTTCAAAACGTTAAACAATCTTACTGATCCAAAATGTTTTAATGGTATTTAAAAATAAAAATAAAATTGGAACACCTCATTTTCCCAATTGTTCTAATTTGCTTGGAAAGATATTCCATTCTCTACTTAATATCAATGGCAAGACATTTGAGGACCTTTTTGCTAATTAAGTGTGACAACATTTAGTAATAACTTGTTCATTGTGAATATTTACACTCACCGGCAATGAATGTCTTTGGATTACAATTCAGACAAGTTCTCTTGACTGAATTGATTCAGTTCAATACCTGATGGAAGTTTATCTCATAAAATCAAAATTATTTATTTAAAAATTAACATAAAACATAAAAATGATTCCTTTATTGTGAATTAAAAATATATAAATTTGTATGGGTTTTTACATTCTTTTAATAGCAGTAAATATCCCAGTGCCTTTAAAGGGATAGTTCACCCAAAAAGGAAAATTGTCAGTAATCACTCACCCTCGTGTTGTCCAAACCCATAAGACCTTCATTAATCTTCAGAACACAAATCAAGATACTTTTGATGAAATCCGAGAGCTTTCTGACCCTGCGTATACAGTAACGCAACTGACCCAAGAGGTAGAAGGCCCAGAAAGGTAGTAAGAACATTGTTAAAATAGTCCATGTGACATCAGTGGTTCAACCTTAATTATATAAAGCTACGAGAATACTTTTTATGCACAAATAAAACTAAAATAAACTTCTTCTAACAAAACAATTTGTTCTCTTCTGTACCAGTCTTCAATGTGCATTGTACCACGACTTTATGCGAGTGGTGCTGCTGACGCATAAGCCAGTGTTCTGACATAGAACATCCATCTCTCTTAGTTAATTTTCTGTATATTCTGGTTCAAATAAGTAAGGCTGGGCAAAAAAATTCAGAACAGCGGCTCCTGCATCAGCAGCACCACACGCATAAAGTCGTGGTACTCTCATGAACGTGCAATGGAGACTGACAAGGAAGATAAGTAATTGTTGAATAAAGTCGTTATTTTTGTTTTCTTTGCACAAAAAGTATTCTCGTAGCTTCATAAAATTACGGTTGAACCACTGATGTATAGACATAGACTATTTTAACAATGTCCTTACTACCTTTCTGGGCCTTGAAAGTGTCAGTTGCATTGCTGTCTATGCAGAGTCAGAAAACTCTCGGATTTCATCAAAAATATCCTAATTTGTGTTCTGAAGATGACCGAAGGTCTTGCGGGTTTAGAACGATATGAGGGTGAGTAATTAATGACAGTATTTTCATTTTTGGGTGAACTATCACTTTAAAAACAGATTTAACCTGAATTACTTTCAGTGAACGTTCAGCACAACAGTTTAATAACTGTGAAAGCATGTTTTTTGTGTGTGTGTGTGTGTGTGTGCACAGGTGTTTTTGGTACGAAAGGTAACCCCTCCTGACAGTAATCAGCTCTACGCTATGAAGGTCCTGAGAAAGGCAACACTCAAAGGTACAGCATCAGTGTAAACACACACACCACAAACCACACAAGCTTCCTTTGCTAACATATACAGCGCTGCAACAACAGCTGCTTTCATTTAACGTTGTTCCTCCTGGCCTGTTTTTCTTTCTTTACTCTTGTGTCACTCCCAGGTCTTTGTGTAACCACAGATACCAACCCTGAGGATTACACCAATCATGAATTTACCATTTGAATTTACCAGATTTTCATATACTATTGTCAGACCTACAGTATCAGATGGGATTTGCAGTGTCACCATACACAATATTTTGTAATTTTTTGGCATATTCTTTCAACTCTGAATCTGAATTTGTTTCAGTGTCAGCGAGGTCACAGATTAACGGTAACTCCTCTGCGGGTACACTTACTTCCTGTTTTTTTTACTGTGCACCCCAGTGACAGAAAATCCCACCATGTTTACAAACCTGAGGTTTTAGGTTCAGGTGTCAGTTCACTGAAATCTCAGTAGCTATCTCTTCTTCTCTCCTCCTCCTTTCTCTCCGTTCCTAAAAAGAGAGCCTTCACAGATCTAATGAGAGCTGATAACAACACTTCCTACAAACATATGCTATCTGATGAACTTCTGCTTCAGACTTCCGCTAAGTTGAATCTGCTGCTACCTCGGTCGCTTGCAGAAAAAACATTTTCATGCTCAAGTTGACTTTGTTAGCTGTGGCCAGATATTTCCTCAAAACCCATGTGAAATTGTTCTCATCACAGTGAGGGATCGTGTGAGAACTAAAATGGAGAGAGACATCCTGGCAGACGTCAACCATCCGTTTGTGGTTAAACTCCATTATGGTGAGTGAGTGTGATGTCTATGATACATTACCAATAATATGTGCTCATGCCATTTCCCCTTCCTTAAAGGAACAGTTTATGCAAAAATTTAAATTACGTCATAATTTTTTCATTGTCATGCGATTCCAAATTCCATGGTACACAAAAGGAGAGATTCTAAGGACTGTACTGGTACTGCTTTGTATTTATAATGTAATTTCAATGAATGTTGACTGCAGAAGCACCATTAAAGTATAATAAAAGCAGCCTATTCCAAGACTTCAGAAGTCACACAATAGCTTAGTTTGATGAACATGAAAAATTTAAGTTGTTATTCAATAAAAATCTTGACATCCATTTATTGACAATGAAGTAGTGAAGTCAGATTGAGTTGGATCATTTCAGTGAATAAGTTGATTCATTGATTCAATGATCAGATTCAACTCACTGACTCAATTTGTTTGCAATAGTTAACAGCTCCTAGATGGGAAGATAATGAATTAATAACTTAAAATTTGGTCTTTTGGCATTTGCATCCTTTTTGATGCTTCAGTGACATGATGGTTAGTAAATTATGACGATCTCTTTAAATGTCACAAAAGGCACTTTTATTGAATTGCTGTGCTGCATGTGATTTTATTAAGAAGGAATTATTAAATGACTTCAATTCAGTGTTCCTGAATGATTCTGGTCCTAAAATTAATGTAAAGAGTAAAAAGATTTGTTTACAGTTCAGAGTCCATGTTTGCAGGGTCATTACATTAATTTGAGTAATTGAACATCGTAATCTTGCATTTTACCTGCTTGACGGAGGCCTTAAATTATAGAGGAAGCTGTAGGAGCTTATCATTAGTGACTAACAGATCAGATTAACTTCAAGCGCACATCTTTGTGGGTGTGTGTGTTCAGCTTTTCAGACTGAGGGTAAGCTCTATCTGATTCTGGACTTCCTCAGAGGAGGGGATCTATTCACCAGGCTGTCAAAAGAGGTATATAATACTCATATCAATGAGCGCAATATCCTATTCTTTGTCTACATTGTATTCACACCATCTCTTTGGTGTGCAGGTGATGTTCACAGAAGAAGATGTGAAGTTTTATCTGGCTGAACTGGCACTGGGTCTAGATCACCTGCACGGCCTCGGCATCATCTACAGAGATCTCAAACCTGAGAAGTATATATATATATATATATATATATGCAGACACACAAAACATAAACTCACTGAGGAGATGCTTGACATTGTAAACACATGTACACACCATGAATCCTGCTACTTACTGTCACGTACGAGTGATATTCTTTAGATTTGTATTTTAACGCGACTCACTTAACAAATACATTTTCTGTGTTCTATTTTCTAGTATCCTCCTGGACGAAGAGGGACATATCAAACTCACAGGTACAATAAAAACACTGGTTTACCAAAGGATTTAGACATACTTTAGTCATAATGTTAATTGGTGTAATTGGTTTTGTTTTTTCTCTCAGATTTTGGACTGTGTAAGGAGGCTATCGACCTTGAGAAGAAGGCTTACTCCTTCTGTGGGACAGTGGAGTACATGGCTCCAGAGGTGGTTAACCGGCAGGGACACATGCACAGCGCTGACTGGTGGTCATTTGGGGTACTAATGGTATGAACGGATTCATGCAGAAGTGGAGAAAACCTGCTTTGCTGTCTATTATATTTTGTCTAATTTTATTTGCTTTAATAGTTGTTTTCTGTTTCTGTTTACAGTTTGAGATGCTTACAGGTTCACTGCCATTCCAGGGAAAAGACAGAAAAGAAACGATGAGTCTCATCCTGAAGTGAGGATCCATTTAATTTTGTTCTTTTTATAGAGTCTTTAAATAATATTCTCAAATTTGTTTTTAAATGAAGCATTTAGGATAAATATGTTTTACGTTACAATTGGGCCAATTTTTTTGTCCTAGGAAATAGTCTTCAGTGCATCATTTTCCATTTCATTGGTTTGCCTAATTTGTTACTAGCAAGCTGTTGGAAGAAAAACAATATAAGCTGTTAAACAACAATTGATCTCTATTATGTGTTAATATTGCCTTTGCCTACACTAAATTAATACTTTTATTCAGCAAGGAGAAATTAAATTGATCAAAAATGACAGTAAGTCATTTATAATGTATTGATAATTCAATTTCAAATAAATGATGTTCTATTGGAATTTCTCTTCAAAAACACCAAACAATCTTCCTGAAAATTTTGTACAGTAGCATATATGTTGTGAACATTGATCAGTTTTTGAGTCAGGATTATTGTTTGGTTTTCTCTTCAGAGCCAGGTTAGGGATGCCTCAGTTCCTGAGTGCTGAGGCTCAAAGCTTACTGAGAGCTCTGTTCAAGAGGAACCCCACCAACAGACTGGGTAATGAATACACAATCAGATTGTTTTATGTACACTTTTTTAAAATGTATCGTTTTAAAATGTAATCATGCTATAAGCTTCCTTTTCCAGTTAAGTCAATTTTATTATATTAAAATTGTATTTGGCACATTAGATAAAAGTAGTTGACAGGAGAATTCCATTTAATGTGCTGTATTTTCAAATTAAGTGTTTTTTTTTTTCATACACTAACTGTTACCAGGATCTGGACCAGACGGAGCTGAGGAAATCAAACGCCATTCATTCTTCATGACGATTGATTGGAATGTAAGTTCTTCAGATTCCTTCAGATCTATTGGAATATTTCTATTAAAGGCTTCGGTGCGAAACAATATTTTATATTTATTTTCAGAAACTCTTTAGACGAGAAATAAATCCTCCATTCAAGCCAGCTGTGGCCAGACCTGATGACACCTTTTACTTTGACTCAGAGTTCACTTCTCGTACCCCTAAAGGTGAGGGATCGTTTATATGATCTGTAACTAGTCTCATTAGTTCTTGTGGTCAGTTAGATTTTTTTTGGACCATGGCAAGAACAAACTACTGGAGAATTTAAAAAGATAGTTCATGTAAAAATAGAGATTCTGTAATTTACCCACCCTCACATTGTTTGAAACCTAAACGATTGCCTTTGTTCTGTTAAAAACAAAAGGAGTTGTTTAGCAGAATGCTATCAGAAAGTTGCTCTTATACATATAATAAATGTGGATGGAGACCAGAGGCTGTCAAACTCCAAAAAGGATAAAAATTATAATTACAGCACCAGACGCTAAATCAAGTCTTCTGAAACTGTAGGATATCTCTGATTGAGGGGCAGACCAAATTTTAATTATTCACTAAAGTCTTGCAATATTTGTTACATCTAATGATGGTCTCCATTCAATTTCATTTCATGGAAAAGAGCAGCATGAAAATTCTGCTCAGCATCTCCTTCTATGTCACACAAAAGAAAAAAAAACAAGAATTGAATGACATTATCACAATATACATTTTGGGGTAAACTCTCTCTCTTTCATAGTTTCTGTGGTCTCTTCATGAATAGGGTAGCCATACAACAGATGGCTATAGTTTCATCTTGATCTACAAGCTTTCAAATGTCATCAGCATGGGTAATGTGGGATATGAGTGTGGGCTTCACTTCATGGTTTTTCTGCTTCTTGGCCTTTCTCAGATTCCCCAGGTGTTCCCCCCAGCGCAGGGGCTCATCAGCTCTTCCGGGGCTTCAGCTTTGTTGCCACAGCGATGCTAGAAGAGGAGGGCAAAGAAGAGCCCTCTCAGCCCCCTCCACACCCGGTGGTACAGGTTAATGATCTATTATATGTCAAAATACATCTGAAAATAACTCTTTGTATTTAGCTGTGGTTAATGTGACATTCCTTGTCAGCTTTTATGACAGTGTACAACAGTATTACGTGGCTCAGGTTAAACTTAAGTTAAGCAGGGGAATGTTGTTAATTAGCACAGAACATAATTAGGTTTTTTTGTGCCTAGTTACAGTGTCTAGTTTTTCTTGTAATGGCTGTTTAAAGTTGATCAATTCTATAATTTTTATGCAATGATGAAAGTAATAAGGATATCTGACCTTAACACCGGCAAGGACTGTTTAAGTGGTGTTCACTTATGAAACCATTAAATTGCTTGAGGTTAGACTATAACTTGTTTTGAACCCTGAACATACTTTAGTCATCCTGCGATTTATGATTAAGTGAGCTTGAAATGGCTGACCACCAGATAGCAGTATTTCTACCTTTTCACTTTGATTTATGTTCGAGTGAGTGTAATGCGCTTTAATGTAGATGATGATACAGTGGTTAAATGTTAATGAAGGATGCTATTAGTGAAAATTTAGTTCTGCGCAAAGTAAATTGCTTTACTCAGTATTAGTGATATCATCATTCTGTACTATCCAGCATTCGCTGTGTTGAGTTCAAATTGTAATAATAGTATGTAGTGTTTGTGCCTTGTTTTAAAGAATGTAATCAGTTTGTACATTGTAATTATAATTATTAGATTTTACTATTGGTACCTGTGTGTGTGTGTGTGTGTGTGTGTGTGTGTGTGTGTGTGTGGGTGTGTGGCTGTCCTAATACTCTATCTCTTGTGTATCTGTCTCCAAGCAGCAGCTTCACGGTAAGAACATCTTGTTCAGTGACGGTTACATACTGAAGGAGGACATCGGCATGGGCTCTTTCTCTGTCTGCAAACGCTGCATACACAAAGCAACCAACACAGAGTATGCAGTGAAGGTTAGAGCCTCACACCGTTAACCTCTCTAAATGTTGTACTGACATGGCTTTGAATTATCTTTTCTTTCTTTGGCATCAGCATTATTGGTTAGGTTACCTAAGCATATGTGACTCTGTTTTTGATGAAACCTCATTTTACAGTCGATTTGGTTCCTTTTTTTTCTTTTTAGAAAATAGGCTAACTCTAGTTAAGAATTTATAGTTAATAGTTAATATCTATAGTTAAGAAAAATATATATTTGCTGTTAAATGCTCTTAACTGAACATTATCAACAAAAAGGCTGTTCACTAAAAGAGTTTTAGATACATGTGGTCTTTAAGTAACTAATACTGTACATGATTTATTGTATAATTCTGATAGGTAATTGATAAAACAAGCACCGACCCATCAGAAGAGATTGAGATCCTGCTGAGATACGGCCAGCACCCTAACATCATCACTCTCAAAGATGTAAGTACAACAGCATATCATTTCACAATGAACTGATCTGCAGAAATTATCTACATTATTGAAATTTAATAAATGCACACAATACAGGGAACTAAAAATGCTACCACTCCATATTTAATAAAAAAAAATAAACTTGTGGTGCAGGTGTATGATAATGGGAAGCAGGTGTACCTGGTCACTGAGCTGATGCGAGGAGGTGAACTGCTGGACAGAATCCTCAAGCTGAAGTTTTTCTCAGAAAGAGAGGCTAGTGCTGTGCTGCACACTATCACAAAGACTGTGGAATACTTGCACTGTCAAGGGGTGAGAAAACATGCATGGACAAACACAATTACATTTGTCTTGTAGATAAAAACCTGCTGCTGGCACAAAATATGTTATGATTCACAGCTTGTGACAGAGCCTTTCTTTCCCCCTCCTCTCTAAGGGTGTTCCCAGAGCTCTTCCCTAGGCCCTCTTCTGTTCTACTCCCCTCTGTTCCCTCTCCTCTGTTTGCAACAGTTATTGTGATTAAATAGTTTTTATGTTGACATCTTTCCCAGAAGAACCACAATAGATATGCTTCTGAGGCCTAATATAATCCTGTAGCCTTTTATAGCACATATTATAGCAGTGCTTGAAAAATGAAAAATGGGCTCAAATCAATTCAATTAAACCACTCTTCCTTGAAATATTACCCAGATATAATGGTAAACTGGAATTAGGGGCAATTGTAACACTTGAAGAATGGGGAAAAAATAACTCAAATCAATTAAATTAAACCACTCTTCTTTGAAATCTTACCCCAGTATAATAGTAAATAGGGATTGAGGGCAATTGTAACACTACATATATTTTATCACAATATTATTAGAATTATAGACCTTTGATTTAAACACATTCCCAAAATAATTAGTGCCATATAAACAATTAAGTAATATTAAAACAATAATATTATTACGTAGGGTATCATCTTATTTAAAGGGGTCATATGATGCTGCTAAAAATAACATTATTTTGTGTATTTGGTGTAATGAAATGTGTTTATGCGGTTTAAGGTTAAAAAAACACATTATTTTCCACATACTGTACATTATTGTTTCTCTACTATGGCCCGCCTTGCATCGATGTTTACAAAGCTCATCGGTCTGAAAACGCAAGGTGTGCTGTGATTGGCCAGCTATCCAGTGCATTGTGATTGGTTGAATACCTCAAGCGTGTGACGGAAATGTTACGCCCCTCACCATATTGTGATGATGCCCTGTCAGGCTGGAGCGATGATTCAAAAACATGAAAACCCATTATAAACGAAGCATTCGTTGAGCTCGTAAGCACCAAGAGCTTGTCACACTGCAACACTGAAGAGAAAGGAAAAATTTAAATCGCATCATACGACCCCTTTAATAAATTGTATTATTCAAGTGGTACAATTGCCTATTATGGGGGGAATTTTAACACTCAACTTGAAATTATTTTTCATAACTTCTGCACTATTAATGGTACAGTTACAAGTTGGCACATATACAAGCTTTTTACACCTAAAGATGGCAGGTAGATTTGTAGCTGTCTCTGAATTATGCAGGAAAATTTAAATGATTTTAAAATCCCTTGTGTGTGTTTTTTTTTTTTCTACAAGGTTGTGCACAGGGACCTGAAGCCAAGTAATATTCTGTATGTTGATGAGTCTGGAAATCCAGAATCTCTGCGCATCTGTGATTTCGGTTTTGCCAAGCAGCTCCGGGCAGACAATGGCCTCCTCATGACGCCCTGCTATACTGCCAACTTTGTAGCACCCGAGGTGAGTGTTTTTTCTCACAGCAGACTGAGGAATTCTGTGTAGACCAATAAACATATTAAATACCCAATGTTTTGAACTACAGTGATAGTGGAAAAACACATTTGCTGGGACTTTGTGTGTTGTTATTTGTAGCAAAAGACAGTTTGTACTATTCAACTTTAAATTTTCTGGCGTCAACGTGATGTCTGTGTGGTGCAGTTTCGAGTATTATTCTCAATAACTGTGCTGAAAGTTATCATTTTGTGTTGCAGGTACTGAAAAGACAGGGCTATGATGAGGGCTGTGACATTTGGAGTCTTGGAGTATTACTATACACTATGCTTGCTGGGTAAGAACGCGCACACACATTCACTCGCATTAAACATTGCACATGCAGTTTCCACAAATAAAATCTGAAAACACACCCACTCATTTTTCCTTTGGTTTTTAAATTGTCCCAGTTTTACACCATTTGCCAACGGACCAGAAGACACTCCAGAAGAGATTCTGAGTCGGATAGGGAGCGGGCGCTTTACTCTGACGGGAGGCAACTGGGACGCGGTGTCTGATGCTGCCAAAGTAGGCCATGACCCCACCCCCATCCACACAGCCATTCAAACTGCTTTCCCTTTGCTTTTACAGTAAAGGGGCTGAATTGAAGAACCTTCAACTTGATGCCTTTCTATTAAAAGAAAAGAAAAAAGTATGACTTTTCCTGTATCTCTTGCTCAATCTTTCTTTTCTTTTTCAGTCACTGAATCATAATTTGGCCCACGTGAGCCGAGGTCTCCACCTCAATGTATTTGGCAGTCTTGGGGCATATTATATTTTTAATCTGCTCATTGGATTAATATACTAAAAGTCAGACAAAATGAGAGCTTTGTACATCAGAATTTAGGCCATGATGTGGTGGGATTATTTGAGAGTCTAAATCCATAATGAATGAATGACAAAGCTCTTGTATATACAGTATCTCGTCTGTTCATCTGTCTGTTTTTAATCCTGTCCTCACTTTCTCGCTCTCTCAAACATATTTCTCTCCTCTCCATCTGTTTTGCCTGTTCCTCCTAGAAAGCTGCCCCTGTCTCTTAAACACACATGCTCCTTCTGAGTGACAGGTTTATTTAGGTAAAAATATGCAACCCTGTTAACTATTGTTATTACTATTATTATATACACTACCAGTCAAACATTTTTGAACAGTAAGATTTTTAATGTTTTTTAAAGAATTATCTTCTGCTCGACAAGCCTGCATTTATTTGATCCAAAATACAGCAAATATTGTGAATTTTTTACTATTTAAAAGAACTGCTTTCTATTTAAATATATTTTCAAATGTAATTTATTCCTGTGATCAAAGCTAAACTGTCAGGATCATTACTCCAGTGTCACATGACCCTAAAGAAATCATTCTAATATGCTGCATTGCTCTTGAAATTTTTTTTATTATTATTATTATTATCAATATTTAAAACAGTTGAGTACATATTTTTCAGGATTCTTTGATGAATAGAAAGATCCAAAGATCAGCAGTTATCTGAAATAAAAATATTTTGTAACATTATACACCATATACCATTCAAAAGCTTGGAGTCAGTATATTTTTTTTCAATACAGGTTTCTTCTGAGCTTTCTATTCATCAAAGAAACCTGAAAAAATTATACTCTGCTGTTTTCAATAATAATAATAATAAATGTTTTTTGAGCAGCAAATCAGAAGGATTTCTGAAGGATCATGTGACTGGAGTAATGATGCTAAAAATTCAGCTTTGAAATCACAGAAATAAATTACATTTTAAAATATATTCAAATAGAAAACAGTTGTTTTAAATAGTAAAAAATATTTACAGTTTTTGCTGTACTTTGGATCAAATAAATGAGGCTAGGTGAGCAAAAGAGAATGCTTTAAAAACATTAAAAATCTTACTGTTCAAAAACTTTTGACTAGTAGTGTAAATTGTATAATTTTTTATATGATTTACTTGCAAAAATTTATTAAATATTTATTTTCACTTCAATCATTTCGGTTTTAAACAAATGTCTTAAAACAAGACAAGCTTATTCTTTCCAGACCTACCGTTAGCATCATCTTTAATACAATTTCATGCTGTCTCTCTCTCACTTTGTCCTCTCATTGTATGTAATCACTAAAGTAACATCTGCAGCACCTCTCTGAACATTACTGATGGAATGCCTGAAATAAATCCATCATTAATCCAACATTGAGAGCCCCCTTCCCTCCCCCTCCCAATAACTGCTCTAATCTCAGATGGATGGGGCTTTTAAAAAGTTATTTAAAGCATGGCTGAGTGATTCTCACTTTGTACTGTCCCAGCTTATTTTCACTGGCCAAACCACAAAAATGGGGCTCATCACATCTCTATTGCTGCTTCGCAGCTGTTATATCTTCTCCAGGCTGGTACGGTTTTTTATTGCCTGTTCAGATAACACTAATATCTTTAAGTGATTTTCTCTTGTCTTTGAAATGAGAGTATGCAAAATATTAAAGTGGAGTTCAAATGCACAATGTCCTTGAAATATTTGAATTATTCATTTACAGTGGTTTTGAAGCAGTATTGAGCCGGAGATGTTGGATTTTCCCATTATCTATAGTGTTTTTGAGATTTGACCAAACTTCCGCGGCAGTCTCTTCCCAGCATCACTGTAATGATAGGGGCTGGTTTCACATTAAGCTTGGTTATAATGATGTGGTGTCAGGTTGAGGGGAGTCTGGGGAAATGGAGTTTTTCATAGAGTCCACACACATCAGCTCCATTCCATTTTATGGCCGTGCTTCAGTGATGCATGATATAGTCAGGTACAGGTTACTATAGCATTAGGCATCTTTGACGTCAAAATAAAGAAATGTAATTGGGCATTATTATGATTTAAATTATTTTTGTGCTTTGTAGATAATCTTTTATTTGCTTTTGGGAGATCTGAGAAACTACGTTCTATCAGTGACAGCAGTGGCTTAGGGATAGAAGGACATGTCTTCTAAAAATTCCTTTATCACAACATTTTGTGAGAAGTCCAATGACATGGTTTTATTTACATTAAATTTTCAAAAAGAAAAATATTTAAAACAGAAAATAAAAGTAGTATACATGTTTGGCTTGTAACATGTCTCAAAATTATTTCATTTTTAAGTATTCCCATATTGTATTGTATTGTAACAATACCCTATAAATAAATAACATAATTTGATGTTTAAGTTGATGGTACTAACTCTCTCTAATTTAAAGATTTTTTTCCATTAGTAAATTAAATTTACCATTGTAATAAAGTTTTTTTGTGTATCCCTCAAGTTATTTTGCTGCTTAGGCTACTGGTAGAATGCACATAACGTAGTTCTCATTAAAAAAAAATGTTTTATTACCTTCTTTCTGTGGTGAAGGCACAAATTTGGTGATTACATGAGAGCCAATACATTTCCATTAGGTAATACAAGTTCTGAGATGTTGTTTCTTCTTAGAAGTCACAAGGCTCACTGTGATTGTTGGATGGCCGGCAGGTTACAAATAATGTTTAATGAAGCTTTATTCAGCCTCATGTCTCATATTTTCCACTGCATGTGTCTCACTCACACACACACACAGTGGCACAGTGGGTGTGTGTGTCGAGTAGGAAAGAAGATGCGCATGCACAGGTGAGATTATCAGTCTGGTTGCATTGCATTTATTTAAGATCATCATACCTTGAAGGGTTGCAAAGTTAGGATGTTTTCACAATAACCATCTCCAAAAAATATTACGGTTACACAGTATAATGGTATGGACATGATGTACAGTTATACCGTGAACCATTACCGTTCGTTTTGTACGTTTCACGATAACATTTTCAACAATTACAATTTGATGGTATACTGTATCACATAATTTGATTCCAAATTGCTTTATTTGTGTATATATATTTACAAATTAATATATACATTTTATATTTATTAATTAGCTTCAGCAAATTGTCTATTTTTCTTAAATGAATGCTGTAAACTATTTAGGGATGAAACTGTGCAAGACAAAAATGTCAGTAAACCATATCTCTGAGTAAACACATTTTCAATTTACAAGCAGCTCATTCCCGTCGATTGTGTCTGATAGTCATCAGCTTTTTAAAAAAGTATTATTTTCAAACAGAAAACACCACAAAACCAACCCGATTTCATGAAAGTGCGTATAAATAGTACGCCAAATAAAAACAAAAATGTTGTGGTATTGATAAGCAAAAATTTACTTTGGTGTGTATATGTATATGTATTTTACATGAATGCTGTAGCATTCATTATATTCCATCTGCCACTTGAATTTAGAAATTATTAATTATATATAAACAATTGTAGAACAATTAAAGAAATTATAGAAATTAATTATTGGTCTAAAATCAGAGGGTGGAATTTGACAGTAAAAATATTACAGTTTGACGGTACCATATTACATAATTTTGATTCCATATTGCTTCATTGAAAAATATTTCACCTGCATGTTTTGCTGGTGTTTTTTTAGCTTTAGTTTGAACACGAAATAATTCCCTAACAAATAGCACATTTATTGTTATGTATTATTTGAAAACAATAATATACATAAAACTTATGTTTTATGAATGCCAAGATCTGTTGCTTGGCAACAGCGTGGAATGTTGGATTTGCAAATTATCTTACATCTCTGGCTATTTATGACCTCAGCGGGGGAGGAAAAAAAAGTGAGAGGGATGCAGAAAGATAGAATAACTTCAAAGAGAACAAGAGAGGAAAATGTGTACGAGTGTGTGTGGGGTGGGCGGTCAATTCTCCATTCCTACAAAATCTGATATAAAGCCGTGTTGCTATGGGCAACACACAGTGGGAGGGAACAGGGTATGATCAAGCAGGGATGGTGAAAAAGAACCATATTTTGGCTTTTTTTTTTTTTTTTTTGATTGCGTGAGCTGACGTAGATAACTGTGAGGACAGCAGAGAGTGAGAAAGAGAGAAAGAGTGGGGATGCTGAGTGGGCAGGAAAACAGACGGCAAGCATCCAATCAGCTGCAGCAAAGTCAGCGTCCTTTTGTCCAATAGAGTGTGACGAGTCTCCTCCAGTGTGAGCCAACAGCGCTGGTGGCTGCTGTCTCATTAATGAATGGAGCGTCTCACAGGCAGCAAAACGGTGCTTGAGCTCTCTCTCCCTCTACGGAAAAGGCAGCACAAACAGAATAGTACTAGCGCTTCGCACCCCGACAGAAAGCAAATGCAGCAGCCGTGCGCAAACATGAAGAAGCACCAATACGAGGATGAGAACTCTGACAGCGATGCAGAGCAGGAATCTTCTGTTCCTTCTACAATGAATGTCCGTCCTTCTGCTTCCTCTTCCAACATCCTCCTTCCCTCCTCTTCTCAGCGGAGGTCCATCTCCATGGGAGACTTTCGGAGAGTCCCTGCTGGACAGGCGGGCTCCGAGCCGCCCTCTGCAGCTGCCACGGCACCCTCATCCAAGCTGGTCACCCCCAGCTCCAGTATGGAGTTCGAAGCAGCTCGTCGACGTCTCCTGGAGGTGGAAGAGCGCCAGCGTGTCATCAGGGAGATGGAGAGACGACTGGAGGAGCTAAGGGAGGTGTTTGTGCGCTCTGAACAGGAGGCGGTGGAACATGGGGAGCTGGTAGGCCGCATCACCTCTGCCGCCCAGCAGGGCGAACTATATGTGGCGGAAAACGGACAGCGGCTGAAAAAGGGATTGCGGTTCAAACGGCACAGGCCCACCATTATCTTCTCATCCATGCTGGGGCT